ATCCCATGGATCCCATCCCATCCCATCCCATCCCATCCCATCCCATCCCATCCCATCCCATCCCATGGATCCCATCCTCGCAGGGAGGATCACCCTGCCATCCCCCTGTCCCATGTCCCATTTGCTCACACATTCCCATGTCCCCTTTTGTCCCAATATTCCCATATCCCCATGTCCCTGTGTCCCCATGACTCCATGAGTGTCTCACACCCCATATCCCACACCTCCACACCCCATATCCTACATCCCATATCCCACACCCCATATCCCCGTAACCCCACATCTCCAATCCCAGTCCAGGGATCCCAATCTCCCAGGCAGGAGTTCAAGGCACAGCCCAAATCCCCAATCCCAAATCCCAATCCCATTCCCAATCCCCGCTCCCAGGCAGGAGTTCGAGGCGCAGCCCAAATCCCAATCCCAAATCCCAAATCCCAAATCCCAAATCCCAAATCCCAAACCCCAATCCCAATCCCAATCCCAATCCCTCTCCCAGGCAGGAGTTTGAGGCGCAGCCCAAATCCCAAAACCCAAATCCCAAACCCCAATCCCAATCCCAATCCCAATCCCAATCCCAATCCCAATCCCAATCCCAATCCCAATCCCAATCCCAATCCCAATCCCAATCCCAATCCCTCTCCCAGGCAGGAGTTTGAGGCGCAGCCCCAATCCCAAATCCCAAATCCCAAACCCCAATCCCAATCTCAATCCCAATCCCAACCCCAATCCCAATCCCAATCCCAATCCCAATCCCTCTCCCAGGCAGGAGTTCGAGGCGCAGCCCAAATCCCAAATCCCAAATCCCAAATCCCAAATCCCAAATCCCAAATCCCAAACCCCAAATCCCAAACCCCAATCCCAATCCCAATCCCAATCCCAATCCCAATCCCTCTCCCAGGCAGGAGTTTGAGGCGCAGCCCAAATCCCAAATCCCAAATCCCAAATCCCAAATCCCAAATCCCAAATCCCAAACCCCAAATCCCAAACCCCAATCCCAATCCCAATCCCAATCCCAATCCCAATCCCTCTCCCAGGCAGGAGTTTGAGGCGCAGCCCAAATCCCAAATCCCAAATCCCAAACCCCAAATCCCAAATCCCAAATCCCAAACCCCAAATCCCAAACCCCAATCCCAATCCCAATCCCAATCCCAATCCCAATCCCTCTCCCAGGCAGGAGTTTGAGGCGCAGCCCAAATCCCAAATCCCAAATCCCAAACCCCAAATCCCAAATCCCAAATCCCAAACCCCAAATCCCAAACCCCAATCCCAATCCCAATCCCAATCCCAATCCCAATCCCAATCCCAATCCCTCTCCCAGGCAGGAGTTCGAGGCGCAGCGCAGCCCGGACCTGTCGCGGGACGTTTACCTGCAGGACGTTCACTGCGTCAGTTCCCTGTGCAAGGCCTACTGCCGCGAGCTGCCCAACCCCCTGCTCACCTACCAGCTCTACGACAAGTTCGCCGTGAGTCCCTGTCCCCAGATGTCCCCAGATGTCCCCGGGTGTCCCCGGATGTCCCCCGGTGTCCCCAAAGCGTCCCCAGCGCCGCGGGTGGCCGTGTCACCGCGCTGTCCCCGCAGGACGCCGTGGCCATCCAGATGGAGGAGGCTCGGCTGGTGAAGATCAAGGAGGTGCTCAAGGAGCTGCCGGTGCCTCACTACAGGTGAAGGGGGGTGGGGATGTCCCCACGGTGCCAGCGGTGTCCCCTCAGCGATGTCCCCTCAGCAGTGTCCCCTGGGTGGTGTCCCCTTGCGGTGTCCCCTGGGCGATGTCCCCTGGGCGGTGTCCCCTCGCGGTGTCCCCTTGCAGTGTCCCCTCGTGGTGTCCCCTGGGCGGTGTCCCCTGGGCGGTGTCCCCTTGCGGTGTCCCCTTGCAGTGTCCCCTTGCGGTGTCCCCTGGGCGGTGTCCCCTGGGCGGTGTCCCCCTGCGGTGTCACCTCGTGGTGTCCCCTGGGCGGTGTCCCCTGGCGGTGTCCACTCGCTGTGTCCCCTCGCGGTGTCCCCTCACGGTGTCCCCCGGGCAGTGTCCCCTCGCGGTGTCCCCATGCAGTGTCCCCTCGCGGTGTCCCCTCACGGTGTCCCCTCACGGTGTCCCCTTGCTGTGTCCCCTGGCGGTGTCCCCTCTTGGTGTCCCCTCATGGTGTCCCCTCTCGGTGTCCCCATGCGGTGTCCCCTCGTGGTGTCCCCTGGCGGTGTCCCCTCTCGGTGTCCCCTCACGGTGTCCCCTTGCTGTGTCCCCTGGCGGTGTCCCCTGGCGGTGTCCCCCATGCGGTGTCCCCTCTCGGTGTCCCCTCACGGTGTCCCCTGTGCGGGTGGCGGTGGCTGAGGTGTCGCGGCTGTCGCAGGACTCTGGAGTTCCTGATGCGTCACCTGCTGCGCATGGCCGGCCACAGCGGCCGCACCAACATGCACGCGCGGAACCTGGCCATCGTGTGGGCCCCCAACCTGCTGCGGTGAGGGCCAGCGGGCCCCGGGCCCGGCTGAGGCTGGCACCCTCAGACCTGTCACTGTCACCCTCAGTCCTGTCACTGGCACCCTCAGACCTGGCACTGGCACCCTCAGACCTGTCACTGTCATTCCTGTCACCCTCAGTCCTGGCACTGTCACCCTCAGACCTGTCACTGTCACCCTCAGACCTGGCACTGTCATTCCTGTCACCCTCAGTCCTGGCACTGGCACCCTCAGACCTGTCACTGTCACCGTCAGTCCTGTCACCCTCAGTCCTGGCACTGTCACCCTCAGACCTGGCACTGTCACCGTCAGTCCTGTCACCCTCAGTCCTGGCACTGTCACCCTCAGTCCTGTCACTGTCACCGTCAGTCCTGTCACCGTCAGTCCTGGCACTGTCACCCTCAGTCCTGGCACTGTCACCGTCAGACCTGTCACTGTCACCCTCAGTCCTGGCACTGTCACCCTCAGACCTGGCACTGTCACCCTCAGACCTGTCACTGTCATTCCTGTCACCCTCAGTCCTGGCACTGTCAGACCTGTCACTGTCACCCTCAGCCCTGTCACCCTCAGCCCTGTCACCCTCAGCCCTGTCACTGTCATTCCTGTCACCCTCAGCCCTGGCCATCCCTCTGATCCCATTCCCCTGTCCCTGCCAAACTTGTCACCACCCCCCAGATGTCCCCAATATCTCCCTTGTCCCTACGATTCCCCTGTCCCCATCATCACTCTGATCCCATTTCCCTGTCCCCTTCCCCATTCCCTGTCCCCATTCCCCCATGTCCATCACCCCCCTGTCCCCCACCCCGAGGTGACCCCGCTGTCCCCCTGCTGGCCCCCCCACCCCGAGGTCGACTCTCTCGCC